GGGTGGCCCGGATAGGAAGAGAGATCACAAGAGAAAGATAAGAGGAGTCATCTCGCTCCTTGCAACCAGCTATGTGGGACTATATTTGGAATCACAAAACTATCTTAAGGATTCGCCACTTCTAGAGGAAGGTGATCACAAATTCTATGGCAACACAAGAAAATTTGTTTAAGAGGAAATGTGCAGCAGATCCAACTTGTCAAATTTGCAAGAATCAATTGGAAACTGTTAAACACCTCCTTTTTTTTATTGTAGTTAGACACACAGAGTGTGGTTTAGATTGGAATTGGTATAAAGAGCAGGGGAAGAACCAGTTCTATCAATTCAACAATGGATATCTAAGTTAATAGAGAATCTGGGTAGCCACCAAAAGATTATAGAAGTACTCAGTAGAGTGGTTATGACAGAATGGATGATTTGGAAAGCAAGGAATGAAGCAATCTTTAATGGCCACGAACCCAACCCAGTTACGACTGTATTCAAAATCCAGTAATTGTGGGGAGAAGCAGAGTACGTTAACAGATCAAAAAAAAAACCTTTCACCCTCGTAATATAGTAACAACCAGAGGCCAATGAGCTTGGCTTCCCCACAAATCCATTGCAGCAGAAGATTAATTGTGATGGTGCTTTCATACGTAGCACTAAATAAACTGCTTTAGGGATAGTAATTAGAGACAATCGAGGGCGCCTATTAGAGGGAACACCAAAATCCATTAAAGCCACTTCAAGCCGAGTACTTGAAGCCGAGGTAGTTAAGAAAGGCTTGTCTTATGGCCCAATCCTTACATTGAGAAATGCAATAATGGAGAGTGACAATCAGGAGGTAATCCTGTTAAGCTCTAATGGGGGGGAGTCGCCATGGGAGCTAGAAGCTATAGTGGAAAATATCAGGGAAATTCTAATTCCTGATTGTAATGAATCTTTTTAGATGAAATGAAATTGAACTGCGCAAAAAAAAAAAAAGTCCCTGTAATCAAATAAATGCTTAAGTCACAATATAATATGTCCATATAAATTCACAAAATAATAATTACTTCAATAAGTTTACACTCATAGATTGCAACGGGGCTTCGTGATTATCAAAACAATATGGTGATTCATTTTGATGGGAAAAAGGTGATTAGCAATCACAAGGGAGTGAAGTGTTTGGAATGATACAGTTTTGAGAAAACCCAATGGTGTATTGCTGTTTGATATACTGATACACTTTTGAGAAATTAAAGGCATAATGCATGATTTACTTTATTGATAACGATGTAAAATGGTGATCGGAATAAGAATGAACCATTGATTCTAATTCAATCCATACTGGTGATAGTAGTGGTCTACCATTTTATCTTATCCCATCTACGATATGTAGATCAAGGCTTAGACAAATTGTAGATCAATTGTCTAAATGTCAATTCTATAGTTGAAAACAAAAAAGTGAAAGAACTCTTCCATCCCATTCCCTCCAAACAATGTTGGGAAAAGAAAAATATTAGGAATTTTGAAGTAGATGCCACAATTGTTATCAGTTTTCTCCATCACCGGGATACGAAACTTTCTCCTTTAGGAATAATTGTGTATGATAGTTTAGAGCTATTCAAAAGATTTAGGAAATTTGATTTTGTTGTTGTACCAAAAATAGGAAAATTAGTAGTGTAGGATCCCGTACTATAAATAAATATGCATAATATTATCTAAAGAGTTCCTCTAAAATAACTAAAATAATGATAAGAACTTCAAATCGTTATTGAAAGAATAGCCGTGAAGTTTTGAATTTCGAACATATTAACTTTTAGGTCAAATTTATTTAGGATGTGTATAAGTTTGAAAAAGTAGTTAGGTAAGTTTTTAAAACTTTTTAGTTCAAAATAACGTTACCATTGAATCTGGAAGGTCGACAAACTTTAGTATATGATCACATTTTATAGCGGTTCGGATGAGTAAAATGATAATTTTGGTGTTCGAATACTTTATTCTGTAGAAGATCAAGAATAGTTATTGATTGAGATATTGGTGATTCGATGTGAATTTCAAGTGTTTCAAATCACGTAAGATAGTTGTAGAGGTTTGAAGTTGAATAAAAATGTTTGGAGGTATTCCGGGGCTTAAGCATATGTTGGAGAGAATTTGGGAAGGAAAGACTTTGACATCACTTTCGTATTTTGTCTATATATTTTTACCTCAATTACCTATTTAATTGATTCTTATGGCATTGGAAATAAGATTTCAATCCCTACAAAAGTGTATTTTATGAAAAATTTTCGTAAATTGACCTCTAGATCAAATTCTGGTTGGAAGTTTAGACGTAAAAATAAGTTTGCCCAAATGCAAGATTAGCGTCCGATCATGAATTTGGTTTTTTGGACATCGAGTTTAGTAGGTCCAAAAGCATGATCTGCATTCGGAAGTGCCTCCCAAAAATAATATTCTCAGTTCTACTTACTTTATTTTTGGCTCTACAAATACATTATAGACTAGTTTTTAGGGTTATTCTACACGATTTCCAACCCTAGGAGGACTAGAAGAGACTTAGAGAAGAGAAAGAGGAAGAAAAAGAAGAGATCAGGCCAAAGTTTGTAGGGCTTAGCACGTGGGAAACAACATAACATACTTTAGGATCATTTTCTGTAGAATTAAGGTAGGGTTTCTTTCCATTCTCTAAATATTGAGGTTGGGGTTGTATTTATATGTAATTTTTTACTGGAATCCATATAAATACTATAGATTTACAACTGCTTTGGACCCTAGATTTTGAATAATGTCTAATAAAGAATATCTTTTTGTAATCTCATGCATATTTTATTGATTCCCCTTTCTTTAAAGAACTGTGTAAGTTGTTTGTGGTATACGTATTGATGGGCTTTTATGAACTTGAATGCATCCAAACTTGTCCTACAAAATGTTTAGGTGTTTTTCTTACCTCAAGGGGATTATAGATTTTCTATCACTCGTAATAGGGTTCTTGGTTCGTTTCAAAGCTCCAAGGATTTGCACAATTTGTTTATGTTGGTCAAGGCTGAGGGTTGGTAAATTACCCTTTGTAAGATTTCGTTAAATATTATGTGTCAGTACATTCGCTTCCTAAAACTATGTGGCTTGATTAGATGATTTGTGCTTATAAAGGATGGACTATATATATTTTGGTGTATGAATTCTTGCTACTCAACTTGCGGACGTGAGATATTCCTGTTACAAATTGTTATTCTCTAAATGATCCATTATATGATAAAATTTTTGTACACGTATCGAAATTTGAGATCGTTATTAATGTCAAATAATTTACTTCAAAAGTTATATATATATTTATTTAAAAAATATGAGACCTATTTGTTTTTATACATTCTTAAATTTTATTTAAACATAAGAAAATTTCTCTACTGAATTAATTATACTCACCAATTCCTTTAATATTTCACAGATTCGGGTATTGAGATTGATACTATACTAGGTGAGGACACTAAGAGGGATTATGAGGCGGATTAGAATATGGACTCGGATATAGATGCTCAAGGATTACTTAGGTCCCGTTTGGTAACGTTTATGTTTTTTATTTTTCGTTTTTATTTTGATATTTAGAGAAAACAAGAAAAAAAAACTCGTTTGATAACTGTTTTTTTTTTTCTGTCATCGTTTTGTAATCGAGGGGCGATTTTTAAAAACGAGAAAAAGACGTTTTTTATTTTTTGATTCTGTTTTTCGTTTTTTAGAAAATCAAAAACCATAAACGTTACCAAACGAGCCCTTATTTAGTGTATCTTGTTTCCTGTTTGAGAATGAAATAATTTTATGAATATTTATTATTTAGTTTTTTTTACTTATTATTTAGTTAGATGGGAGATATTTATTCTTGTTTTAAGGTTTGGATGTGAACTTAAGTTATGGATTGATATTCTGGGTTTTATTTAGCTAAATGACGAGGGATGATTGTGATTTCTTGAGTTAATGGAAAATTGTATTTGGAATACTTTCATATGTTAATTCTAAATTCAAGAATTTTATTATTATTATTTTTTTGGTCATATTCAAGAATTTTATTAGAATCACTCTGTTGTTGTAAGTTTGGGCGTGACAAGTTGAGTACGAGTTTTCATTCCAAAAAAAAAAAAAAAAAAGAAGAGTAGAGTAGGAAGCGGCAAAAAATAATAAATTTGTTCACGATATGATGTATGGCTAGGGAACGGACCAGATTTTGTCCTCCTAAAAGATATTCCAAATCAATACAATTGATACCATTTTCAGATTGGGAAAAAAAATGTTTGTGACTTTTGATTAGAGATATTAAAATATGACACCATAATGACATAAACACGACATAAAATTAGAGAGTTTGAATTTTTCTTAAGCCACCCGTTGTGTAAATGAGTGGACCCGACACAACACGATTATTAAACGAATCAAGGATAAATAAAGTCAATAAAAATATACATGATACGACTCATTTATATACTAACTATCCATGATTCATAAAACGATACAAACCTAATAACATGATTTTTCGAACACAAATTAATAAATAAATCAGGTATGAGTCAAATATTTTTTGACATGAATTTTACTTATTTGACACGATTGACGGACTTACTTTTGATGGGTTATACTATACAAGGTTAGTGTTGTGTAATGTGCATATGTTGTTTTATATTAAAATTTATTTAACTTATTCCCGTTCGTTTTAACCAATTCAAATTGGGTTTAGTTTGGATCGTATATAAATTGTCTTTAGTCAACTTCATGTCTATTCATTTATTTAGTGAAACAAGTTTAATTAATAATTATCGACTACATTCATTTTAAATAATAAATTTGAGTTAACAAACGCATTTTAAATCTTCAACTACATAATTTGCTATCTAAACATTGGGTTGTTTCTCGAATTGACGGCCCGTCATACTTATTCCGAGAGGGTCAAACCCTTGGTATTGTAATGGATCAGTTTAAGCCACATAACGGGTCGGATAAATTCGGCCGAGGTGACAATTGCATCACTCATTACATTACGCTTCAGTAGCAATCGCAGTAGGGTTTGCCACTCTCTCTCTCTCTCCCTCTCTCTACAATTGGCCATGACGAAGTTTAGGAAGCTAAATCGTCCCACCGGTCATCGTATGTCTATGCTGAGGTTCTTGATTTTGAAATTCCATATCTCAAATTCAAAACCTGAATTCTAGCGTTTAAAGCTACTATTTTGTGCGTGTATGGATGTGTTGTGTGTGTGTGTGTGAGAGAGAGAGAGAGAGAGAGCGAGAGACTATGTTTTCTGGGTTTTTTATTTTTTCTTTTGTTCGTGCAGGACAATGGTATCGCAGCTGGTGAAACACGAGCGCATTGAGACCACTGTTGCGAAGGTAACCATCCTTCAGTTTTTTTGTCAAGGATTTTGGAATATTTCTGGGGTTTTATTGTTATTTAATGCATTTGATTATTTCGAATTTTTTTTCTTTTTTGTTGGCTAAAGTTATAATTTTGTTGATATTCATAATATTTAGCATCCTTGAAATTTCAATAGGATTTTTAAATGATGAAATTATTCAACATTTTATCTTTGTATTCGTAACATTTGCAATCCTTAAAATTCCAACGTATTTGGTTGAAATATGAAATTTGGTTTATCAAAAGTTCCAATGCTACCAACAGTTAGTCTATATTTCTTTTGACTGATGGCTTTAACTGATCTGCTCTGTTAAGAAATCCACAACTAGCTTTCTCACAAGTTTTGACATGTTTGGAGTATTTGGGCTTGGATTTATATTGAAATGAAACATTATTTTAATTATGTATATTTCATTAGATTTTTAATACAATTGTAGGCGAAAGAAGTCCGTCGTCTCGCTGATAACATGGTACAGCTTGGAAAAGAGGTGTGTTGTACATGATGCTCTTGATCCCTCTGAATTGTTGACTGGTTATTCAATAGTTGCTATGCAAGGCTGTTTATTCTCTATGGGCCTTAATGCTGTGCTTCCAAATCCATAGTTTTTTTTTCCTGAGAAGAAAATTGCTGAATATTTATGAGAATGTATGGACTTGTGTCAATATAGTATATTTGATACAAAATAATTTTTTCCTTCTCATTTCTTTGCCGTTTGGAGAGGAATTTTATGATGCTTGGGAAAGAATCCCTGATACCTTTGGGTTTTATGATATCGGATATATGGCTGGGGCGTGACTTTGAATTCATCCACACTTCCATTAAGGTAGGAATAGGGTTGGTTACGTTGGTATGCATGTCAACATATTTGATATATGGTTCATTTCATTGATTTAAGCTAGGAAAAAGAATGATGAAGATGAAGTGGTTCTAATGTTTTTAGGTCTTGAAACATACAATGTTTCGGTAAATAAATGAGAAGAACGCACTTGAATTTCAGTTGTATAGTTTGCACAGCATGTGATTCATCTACTGAAGTGAAAGACTTGGAATCTATTGACAGGCTCTTAATTAACGTGTGCAACTTTGGGAAGGAAGCACTGATAAGGTTATATACTACATGATACATACATAGAAATATGACAAAATCTAAAAATAGGATGAGTACGACCAGAATACATTTACCATGAAATAATTTTTATGATTTTTATGATTTGCTGATTTACAAGTTATAATTTTCTCTAAATTGATAATAATTTAAAATAACAATATTTATTTATACTACTAATAAAAATATCTTAAATGAAAAACTTTTAATTCACTATTTTATGCTTATAAAGAATTTTAAATATCACATTATCTTTTCATAGTTCTTTTGTATTTAAATCTTTAAATTACCCTCTAATATATCTTCTAATTTTCTATTATCTTTATATAAATATCAATATCTATAAAAAAAAATTTAATTGACTACGCAACCCTTAAAAAAATATATGCATCATTATAGTTTTCAATAACGTGTTCAAAAAATCTATCAATAAATCATTACTCTTTTCAAATAAAAAAATTAACATTATGTCTATATATATGTATTTTTTTCCATCTATACTTCTAATAAAAGTATCGTAGAATGAAAAACTTTTGATTCACTATTTTATTCTTATAAAAAATTTTAAATACAGCACAATCTTTTCATAGTTGAATATCTAAATTACCATCATATATTTATATGTTTAAATCTCCAAATTACCCATAATATCTCTTTTAATTTTCTATTCACTATGTATAAATATCAGTATCTATGAAATTTTTAATTAACTACGTTACCCTTAAAAAATATATGCATTACAATAGTTTTCAATAAAACATTCAAAAAATTTTCAAAAACTTAATTAATTTAACATTACTCATTTCAAATATAAAGATAACATTATGCTTATGTATGTGTATTTTTTTATAAAAAATTTCAAATCATGTCTCATATGAAAAGTCATTTTTTTCAAAATTTGGCTGATTTTTAAGTTGTAGAACTTCATCAATCATATTGGTAGTTATTAAAGGTGCTGTTTAGGAGCACATTCCATCTCTATACTATTATCTAATACATTTGCAATATCTGCTGCATATTGTTGCTTGCCAGGTCTTGTACGAATAAATGCCAAAGATGTATCAATATTGTATTTTATTTTTTATTTTGTTCTTGTGTTTCAAAATCTTCCATTATTATTACAGGGTACTCTATGTGCTGCAAGGCGTGCTGCTGCCTTTGTGCGAGGGGATGATGTCATTCACAAGCTATTTACAGAACTTGCCTATCGATACAAGTGAATATCAAATTTGTTACTTTTTTGGTCTTTCTTGCTATGATTGTATTGTTTAGATGAAAATTTTTGTGTATACAGAGATAGAACGGGTGGGTATACGAGACTGCTCCGAACACGAATAAGAGTTGGTGATGCTGCACCAATGGCCTACATTGAGTAAGATTCTTTTTTTTTTTTTATTTTGGCCGTTGCAATCCTTTGGACTCAGGAACTTGTCTGTTATTTGTATCACCTATTGAACAGTTTCATTCACGTTTCATGCTTTTTTACTTCTTCGGGGATGGCAGTGGGGGCGGAGTGCAAGATTTGACTATAAGTTTCTACATTAACAGGTCTAGGGAACAAAATCAGGAAGAAAATTTGTTTGTGTTGCATGATAAGTTATATTTTCTTTCTATCAAAGCATCATTTGGCTTTGCATGTCTCAAGACCCTAATGAGGCATCTTTGGAGTGGACATCTGGCCTGGTAAACAAAAAAGGAGGGAATGTAGAAGTACTCATTTCAATCAGAAAATATGTTCCTTGGATGCCTTTTCAGTAATACCTGATCAGTCGTCTTCCCTTTATTGTACCAGGTGAGTGAGGCAAGTAAAAGGTTTTACCTTATCAAATGATGGTTATCAAAATCCCAATCCAGATCATACGATCCGAATATGGGCAAATCAATCAGAGTCTTTAGTAAAATCCCTAATTCACAGAATCTTAATGGATTGCAATCCGGATCTTGAGGATCGTAGGACCCTTATTCTAATTGTGATTTTACCTAGCCATGTTATTTGGTTTGTTTCTTAGGGACCTTTAGTTATTGAGCTAACCTGATTCATATGTATTGCTTTATTCACAGAATCTTATGAATCTATTAGAAAACACTCTTTATTACAGAAACCTCTCCTCAGTTGTCCGTCTCTCTTATTGAACAGTTGGAACAACAGCTAGGTTTCTTCTTTTCTCCTTTGGTGAGGGATCTTAGCTAGATATAGCCTCCATTTTCATTCTCTTCCACTTTTTTTGTTAGATGTCAAAGAATCAAAATTGATCATTAAACAGTATTTCAATTTTCAAATCTCTCCTACCATTGTCTCGCTCTGAAAGTTAAGATAAAAAATACTCTTATTCTTCTATCCTCTTGACGAAATTCCCTAAGTTTAACAGCCCACCTTTGATTTTTAACCCTCTTCAATGCTCATGTTGCATTTTCTCACATTTTAATCTATGTCTAAGTTGCATTTGTTTGTCATTAACATTTTTACATTCTGCTTTTATACTTGGCTTGTTTTATTTTTGTTTTTCAGAATTCTGTAGTGTTACATCTATATATCGTCACATTTTTGCGGCTCTCAAAGTTGATTTTTTTTTTTTTGGCTTACAACTCTCTTGTTATCCTTGCTGATATCCCTTATCTTTTAATTAATGTCAATTTTCACCTACCAGGTTTATAGATAGAGAGAATGAGCTTAGACAGTCGAAACCACCGACCCCCCAACCACCGCAGAGACCACATTTGGATCCCTGGACAAGATCAAGGCTGAGCAGGCAGTTTGCACCGGCCAAAGAGGAAAAAAGTGTGGAGTCTGAAATTTGAAATGTGGTGTTGCTGAATTCTGCACGGAAGATTTTTGTTTTTGTTTTTGTTTTTTCTTAGCATGTCGTCACAATCCTCAAATCTGAGGCCTTCAAACCTGAATTGAAATGCTACTGGGATTGAAACAGAAAAACCTTGGAAGGAAAGAAAATAATATTTATTCAACTATTTCAATTGTCTGGTGCTTTAGTTTCTAAATGACAGCACCATAACTTCTTGTTGCTGTCAGGAATTTCAAGAGCTAAACATTGTATTTTATATTCAAAGATCGAAATTTTGTACAACAGTAGGTTTTGTTATATCTTTATTACCATTTTACTGTTGTTTTTAAAATATTCTTCAGTTTATAGGTAGTTGAATGAATTGAATATATGATTTAAAGTCATGGTTTTGTTTTAAGTTAAGGGGATGGATGCACACCAACTATTGCTGAAATGTACAAAGGAAGGTTGACCATGTCAGTGGTGGCAAGAATATATGGGTAAGCTTAGAAATCATAAAGAATGTGTTAGGTATGGAAGGAAAAGCCTTTTCAGCTACTGCACCAAACAAATGTGTAAATATTGAAAAATTGGGGAGAGAAAAACATCTTTTACCAACAAGCTTAAGAAACTGATGGATGACTACCCATCAAAGTTCAAAGTACTAGCCCAATTATATAGATGGTCAAGTCGCTTAAATGATGGGCCTAATTAATCATTTTTTTTTTGTCTAAGTCCATCATATCCTAATTAATCAATTAACTCACCTATTTTTTGGTTATACAGTCACAATACATGGAGAAAATGGTTTATACCTTAATATACAAACTAGTTTTTCGTTGAAATTTTCTTTTTAAAGAAACAAGTTATCAATTGGTTCAAAAATGAAGACAGATGTAGATTATTTTGTATCCTAGTATGTATGATGTTCTTCATCAATAG